TCCCATCCTCTTTCTCCACCTGGAGCTCCAGTTTGCTTCTGCCAATCTCATGGGCTCCACCCGACTCCCTGTGGGCACGGAGGCCCTCGGGCTGGGGTCAGAGGCTGGGCAGAAACCTGAGCTCAGGCCCAGCTCAGGGGCTGGAGGGGACAAGGCCAGGCTGAGCGCCCCCTCCCGCCACCGAGCCCTCCGAGCGGGCATGTTCATGTTCCAGTCCTGGGGCCCCGTCTCCAGCTCCAGACACATGTGACTCAGCCCTGCCGGCCTTGCCAAGCTGTCTAGACCCAAGTGTCTCCCTTCGGAGGGGGCAAGCCCGCCTGCAGTTTCCTTTGCCGCCCTAGGCTGCTGAGCCTGACCCTCCCCCTCCTCACCGCCTGCATGCCTGGGAGTGCTAGGGCATGAGCGGGGAAACCCACAGGTCCCCGGGGGCCCAGACTGTTCCCCCCGATTTATGGGACCTGGGGCAAGAGGACAGAGGAAGATCCCTCAGCCGTTGCCTTCCCCCGCCCGGCCAGGCTCTATCCACACCCCTCACAGGTGGCTCAGGCCTGGAGCAAGATTCGCCCTAGGGGGAGAGGGTGGACAGATGCTGCAGACCCTCTCAGGTCCCATCCTGTGGAATGTGCTCCTGCAAGAGCCTGTGGCCTGGGGTTGGGGGAGGTGATGGTGATACCCCTTGGCCCTGAGCACCCCTCCACTGCAGGAGGTGGGGGTGGTGCCCTGAAGCAGGAAGCCTAGGGCAGGGGCATCGTGGGGTGTGAAGGTGGCACTGTCTTGCATTGTGTTGGTCCTTGCCCCAGCATACGGACTAGAAGTGACAGGAAGAGGAGGCCAAGGTCCTATGGCAGCTTCCCCATCCTCATATACCAGTAAACTCTCAAGGTGGACGCAGAGGCCTAGGATGAGAACATTTTAGAGTTGACAGTTTGCAGTCAGCTCCTAGGTGGGCACTGCTGTCCATCCAGGGTTAAGACCAGAGACCACTGGACTCCTCCAAGCTTACAGTGATAGCAGGCCCACCTCTGTAAGGCCCACAGTGGCAGTGCTGGAGTCCTCTGGACTTATGGGATGCCAGTAGCGTGTGCTTAGCCAGGCCAGTGCCCCGGCCACAGGGCAAGTGAATGATAGCTACCTCAGGGAAAGTCAGTGTCATTCTTGCTCTGTGCACCCTTTGGGTCTCATTGCGCACATCAAAGTTTGGCGTCCCTGCAGCCTGGGGCTCTTCCTGATCTCATTTGCAAGCCCCCACTTTCATGTTCTCCATCCTTCCTTCCATGTGCACGAAGAGGGTTGGTTTCTGAGCGGGCTCCTGGCTCGCACAGATGGCGTGGGCTGGCTGTAAGACATCGGCGCTGAGCCTGCATGCCAGGATGCCTGGGTGGATGGGTGGTCAACAGCTCAGCATGGTAGCTCAGGAGCAGAGGAGAGAGGCCCAGGGAGGAGGGGGATGAGGAGGAAGAGGAGGAAGAAGAGGAAGAGGGGGAGGAGCAGGGGGAGGGGGAGAGAAAGGAAGGTGGAAGAAGAGGGGAGGGGCAGGGAGAGGGAGGGGAGGAGGAGGCAGTCCCCTGGCCTTGCCTTGTCTGGGGAGTCCCAAACTCAGGCCATCCTCAGCCTGACATCTTTCCTCTGCCCCATCTCTCCCCCAATCCCATGCCAGGCATTGCCACTTCCTTCTCCCATGGATGTACCGAGCTTCTCAACCCATAACTGATTTCTCCCCCTGAAATCAATCTCTCTCACACACACACAGAGCCTGAATTTGGTGCTCTCTGCCCTTATTGGGGAGCTTCAGGAGTGGGGAAAGGAGGGGTGGAGGGAGCCTTAGTCCCTCGAAGGTGCCCCAGGCTCCCTGGTTCGGGGTTGATGTGGCCCCATGAAGGGCTTCAGCTCAGACAACGTTCATCCCACTGGTCATGACCCCCGGGGCAGGCGGTGCCTCCTCAGGTGGAACTCCAGCAGCTGTCAGATGCGGCAGAAGCCAAGCTGCCTTCTTGGCGGAGTGGAAAGCCCTTGGACTTCAGCTTTCTTTGATCAATGTTGTGGACTGGGGGCCCCAGCTAAGATTCCCACTGCACCCTGTGGTCTGCTGCTAAAAGCAGTGTGAACACGAGAGTCGAGATGCTCACGAGGACTTTCTCTTGTCCCTATGCCCTCCGCAGGGCAGGGAGGCCAGCTGATTCAGTGAACCCAATTGCTTGGTCATACATTTCTGTGCCCACCACACAAATTGAGAGGCCTCACCTGCCTCCACCACCCACCAGCCCATCCCTGGCACGGTGGGGCCAGTGCCTGTCAACTAGTCTCATTTTCCAATTTCTTTTCCAAGCACCAACACATGGCTAAGGGCCTGCTGGGCCCCATGGCCAAGTTTCCCCCATGATCAGGAGGTTGGCTCTTGCTGTGTGTGACACACAGGTCTGCCCAGGGCCGCACAGCCTCCCACTAATGCCCCACTTCCAGGTCGATGGGTCCTTCAGCTCACTTTTGGCCCCTGACCCACCCAGGCCTTCCTCATAGAACCCAGGGTCTCTGGGTTAAAATACCCCTTAGAGATCTTCCTCCCCTTCTCCACTGTACGAATCCACCCCGCCACATCTCTGCCCATGTCCCTGGGCTTGCACACCGCCCAAGACAGGGAGCTCCCTTCCTCTCTGTGCAGTCAGCTGGTGTTTAGACAGTGCTTTCTGGGAGAAATGCTTCCTTGTATTGAGCTGGAGTCCATATTTCCAGAAGCTCCTACTGCTGGACACCTTTCTCCCCCCTTCCTGAGAGGCCCAGCAGCCTCCAGCCTTTCCGGTGGAAGATGCCTGAGAGGCACGATGACTCAGGGTGATGTGGGCAGGGAGACCGCTGCCTCCTACCCGTGTCTTCAGCAGCCATCTCCATGGGCTCAGGGCTGGCCAACAGGTCCTCCATGCAGGGGGATGGCCTGCATGACCTCTCGAGATGGTCTTCTCCCCTCAAGGCCAAGTCCCAGCCTATGCCATAGACAGAGCTGCTGAGCCGGGGAAAGATCTGCTTAGCCCACTGGCTCCACGGGGCTGGGTGGAGGAGGGAGATACTCTTCCAGAATACACAGGCTGATTTCTTCCCGATCCTTAGGAGCAGAGGATATGGGGAGGGTGGGGGAGGCTGCCACACTGCCGTGGTTTCTCCTGCCAAATTCCCCAGTGCTAGGAAAGATCCACAGAAAAACCCACAAGAATTTGAATGTCTGAGCTGGGGCTGTGATTGAAATGAAAATTTCTAAAAGAAAGAAAGAAAAACAAAAACAGAAACAGAGAGAAAAGATTAAAAAAAAAAAACAACCCAAAGCCCCTGCCAGCCCTCAGCTTTCAGAAGGGCCCAAGGCAGCAGCCATGTGGAAGGGTGGAGAGGGGCTGCACATTGTTTTGCAGGTGATTGGGCCCCTGGTTGGGGCTGTTGGGCTTTCTCTCCATGTCCCTTCAGCACAAGTTTGGAGGCTCCATGTCATCAGAACATTCAACAGGGAACAAGGCCCTGCCCCACCCTAGCGGGGCCTGTGTCAGGGCCTCCCAGGCCAGGCCGAGGTCCTTTGCTGTTACCCCAGATCCTGCCCACTCCTCCCAGGACAGAGCTAAGTCCTCTCCTGTCACTTGGATGACTTAAATGCCTCCTAGCAGGTCCCTGGGTCTCCCTGACTCTAGACGTGCCTTCTGAACCATCCCCTCTAGGAGATGGCAGGGCAGGCACAGAGGGGCATAGAGTCTGGCAGCAGCTCCTGGCCACAAGCTATCCTCCAGCTCCTTCCTGCCATGTCCAATCAGCAGTGTCAGGGGTGGGGGCATTCAGTGATCTGGGGGCTTGGAATGCGTGGGGGAGGAGGGGCTGATGAATTTCATTCCACACTCATTGACTTTGAAGGGCCTGAGAGATGCAAAGCAGTTGGTAAGTGGACAAGGCAGGAAGGAGCCACAGATAGACTGGTGGGGTGAGAGTAAGGGGAGCAGGGCCATCCAGCATGATGATGATGGTGAACATTTACATGGTGCTTTGACAGGTTAGGCACTGTCCTGGGTATTTCATAGGAATTATTTTATTATTTTAGAGACAGGGTCTTGCTCTGTTGCCCACACTGGAGTGGCATGATCATAGCTCACTGCAGCCTCAAACTCCTAGGCTCAAGCGATCCTCTTGCCGCAGCCTCCCAAGTAGCCAGAACTACAGGTGTGCACCACCACGCCTGGCTAATTTTTAAATTTTTTATAGAGATGGGGTCTCACTATGTTGCCCAGGCTGGTCTTGAACTTTCGGCCTCAAGTGATCCTCCCGCCTCCGGCTCTCAAAGTGCTGAGATTACAGGCGTGAGCCACTGTGCCCAGCTCATAGAATTATTACCTCATGCCATCCTCATTAGCAACGCAATGAAGTGGGTGCTTTCATTATCCCCAGTAGGCCAGGGCAAGGAGGCACAGACAGGTTAGGTAACCGACGCAAAGTCACACAGCTATGTGTAGGCATGGGATTTAAATTCAAGAAACGTCCCTTTATGGCGTGAGTATGGTAAACAGGAGACAGAGCCCCGCGCTGGGCGAGGGAAGCTGAAGTCCCAGTTCCATTCTGCATCCAAGGCTCCCCTTCTTCCTGCTGGGGACCAAGGTCCTCCGCAACTGAGGCCCAGGACAACCCGAGCGAGGCGGGAGCGCCCCCTTCTGGACAAGCATCGCCTCGACGTGTCCTCCTCCCGGCTGCCGGCAGGGCGACGCCAGCAAGGCCGGCGACAGAGAGCCAGCGTCAGCCCCAGCTCGGCCTGGGTCCACGTCCCGCCCTGTGGCCCGGCCCCTGGGTGGTGCCGACGCTGGCGTGAGAGCCCGGGCGCCGGTTCCCGCCAAGCCGCGGCCCAATAGGAAGTCGCGGCGGGGGAGGGGTGCACAGCCGCGCTCGTCTGAGGGGTGGCCTGGTCCCCCGCCCAGGCGGGTGGGCGGGAAGAGCGCCGGCGCGTGATTGGCAGGCGGGCCGGCCTGTGGGGCCAGGGCGTGGGCGGGGCGCGGCTGCGAGGGCGAAACATGGCGGGGCAGGTTGCTGGCGGCGGCGGCGGCGGCGGCGACTACTACTACGAGGACAAGGGCGACCACAGCGTGTTGAAGGCGGCTGTGGAGGTGTTCGGGAAGCTGAAGGTGCTGCGGGCCCAGGGAGCAACCCCGGACGGGGGGCCGGACAGGGCCCTGCCCGAGGTGCGGGCGGGCTTGCCGCGGAAGTCGGCGGCGCCGCGCGGCCTCTGTGGCGGGTCCTGGCTGCGCCTTGTTACCCTGCAGGGAGGCGCTGCTTGTGGAGCATGCATCTTTGCTCTTTCGGGTGCCCCGGCCTTCGCGCTTGCCGTCTCCACGGCCCGTGCCTGGTAGTTGGGGCCAGCGCTACGGATGGAACTCTGCAAGACCCGGGCTGGGCGCTTGGAGCAATTGCAGAGACGGAGGACCGAGGGAGGCCCTGGCCTCAAGGAGCTTGTGGGGTCTGGGGGAGACAGATGGGAAGAGCCCAATGCCACTCTGTCAAATCAGCGAGACCGGGGCTCGGCGTCAGATGCCAGGGGTGGCCTCCAAAACCCCTCATCGCAGCAGTTAGGAAGCCGGGCCCATAAGTTCAGGGAGCTGTCCCAGGTCCCTTTGGCCCACTGGCCGCTCCCTCTGCCCTGCTTCCCTCTTCCCATACCCCTGCTCTCCTCCCTCCCTTCCATCACTCTCCTCTCCATCTCTTCCTCACCCCTCTCCACTCTGCCTGCCCTGCCCCCATCCCCACCCCTCCACGACAGGCTCAGTGGTCCCTCTCCCTCTCTCCTTCCCCTTTCCCTCTGCCCAGGAGCCTAGATCTGATGTCTTAGGTGTTGCTCCTAGGGCTTGCTGCCACAAGAGCCCAGAAGGGACACGCTTGAAGGCATGGGGCAGCAGGCCGCAGGAGGTGTGGGTTCAGTAATGAGGGGGTGTGAACTCTTGGCAGGATGGTAGAACTCGAGGGGTGCTGGGCTGCAGGGCGTGTGTGAAGGCAGGCGTCATGAGAGCTTACAGAAGCACGTTGGTACCCTTCAGTGGTGGTGCTTCCTGAAGCTTCTGGCTTGCCCTTTCCTTGCTTAGGACCTAAACTGCCCCTTCCTAGAGGGTCTGTATATCACAGAACCAAAGACGATTCAGGAACTGCTGTGTAGCCCCTCGAAGTACCGCTTGGAGATCCTGGAGTGGATGTGTATACGGTAACTCCCTGCTTTCTTCCTCATCCCATCTGGGGGATACACCCACGCCTCCTAGCCCACTTGGGGAAGATGGGGTTTGTGCTTTCTGTGATAGCTATCCTCCCAGAGGCCCCCCTGAGAGCAGCTGGTTAGGTGGGAAGTGCTGACTACTGAGCCCTGCTCAAATTGGGGGTGAAGTGGCTCCCAGCAGTGCCAGGCTAGTCCATCCACCTCCTTGATGCTGTGCTGAGCTGGATTTTGGAGGGTTTTCCGTGCTTTAACTACCAGTTTGGAGATGCTCTACGTCAGTCCTCTCCGTCTCAGACTAGGAAGCTGAGGGTCAGGCGGGAGCCATGAACTGTCCCGGGTCTTGCAGTACAGGAGTGACAACCAGGGCCGTGGCAGGGTGGAGCTCAGGCTCTAGCAGCCCTGTGGAAAGATCCTCTTTCTCTGCATGGTGGGGGGCTGCCATGATGGCAGGCTCCTGGGGATCCCTAGCAAGAGCGTGAGGCCTCAGCAGCTGGGGTGACATCCCCAGTACCTCGTGTTGCACTAGGCATGGAGCTTGGGGCTGGAGGTACAGCAGCTGGACTGTGTTGCCCTGAAGGAGGAGAGCCAGTGGGAGGCTTGAGCTGTGTGTGGCTTACAACACGTGTCTAGGTATTTCAAGACTTCCTAACTCCCATGCATTCTGCATCTGGAACCTGTTCTGCCCACCAGATCACTCTTAAGGCAAAATGCTTATGAGTGGCCCCTGTCACATGTATTGGTGTGCTGCTGTCAAGGCAGGGCTGCACCATGCTAAGGGTGAATAACTGTGACTGTGACTTTAGAGTCTGTCACAGCAGGAACCCCCAAATAGCCTAAAGGAGGGCTCAATGAGCCTTTTCTGCAAAGGCCCACACAGTTAACATTGTCAGTCTCTGCCATTGTGGCACAAAAATAGCCACAGACAGCATGTGGAGGAATGGGCAGGGCTGAATGCCAATAAAACTTTATTTACAGAAACGGGGCTTGCTTATGGGCTGAGCCCTCTCTGGGAAGAGCTAAGTGTTGGCATTCACTAATGGCAGATTATTCTGCGACAAGAGGTGATGATTGTTCATTCATTAGACACTAACTGGCCACAGTATTAAGCCCCAGAAATACAGAATGGAAAGCCAGCTCCTGGCCTTGGCAAGCCTGTGATCTGGGAGGTGAGAGCTCAGTAGAAGGATGGTACCCTGGCCCCACTGGGACAGAGAGATGCCAAGGTGGCTGTGAGCTACCCAGGGGAGGCCATGTCCTCTGGGAGCTGGTGGCTGGGTATACTGGGGCTGGAAGGGAAGAAGGTGCCCCACCCCAGAGGAGCAGGTACTGGCCTGGGGCCAGTGCCAGAGGGCCTGGTCTGCACCCCCAAAGCCATCTGGCACCACTGTTTCAAGAAAGAGCTCAGAGTGTTGAGGAGTTCTCTCTTTTCCCCTGTGTGGTCATGTCTTTTTTTTTAACTGTGAGAAGAATTTTCATTTCAGTATTCAAATGCACATTTCTGAGGTAAGCTTTTTGAAGTGTTTTTCCTAAGAATTTATGGAGATGAAATTAACATGACATAAAATTAACCATTCTGTGGTGGCATTTAGTACATACACACAAGCAGTTCACTCCTGAGAGCAAGTGTACAGATGGGGTGGTGAGGGGGATTCTCCAGCCCTCTCAGGCCTCACTGGCTTTGCTGTTTCCTTGCAGGGTCTGCCCCACCTTGCAGGACAAGTTCAGCTCACTAAAGGGAGCCCCAGCAGAGGTGAAGATTCAAGGTAAGTCTTGTTATGAGAGTGTGGAATTTGGTGGTAAATTCTGGGCAATTCTGAGCTTGTTTATAGCCTCCTTCCTGAGTTGTAGTGAATTTTGCACCAGACTGAAGTTTTCTTTTGAATGGTGTGCACTCTGTGGATTTTGCTAGAGCCTTCTAGAATCAAGACCCCCTGATTCTAGGCATGGTGAATATAAAAGCTCCTCTCACAGAGACCAAGAGCATGTCAGTCCTCTGCAGCACTGGTAGGCAGAGAGGCGCCTGCTGCCAGCACCATTGGTGGTTCCGTCTCCCCAGCACATCCACACGTCCTCTGCACATGGCAATTTTGGGAACATGCCTATTCCTCTGTGCCGGGGCTTGTGTTATAACTCTTCTTTTCCATCATTTCTTGGTAGAAACTGTCCTTAATCCGGTAATGACTATTAGATGGCTAACTTTTCACCTTAACGATGATGTCTTCAAAAGTGGATGGAATTTCAAAGGTCAAATTTTTCATGGGCCTGTGTTTGTTCTGACTGCTCCAGGGTGGGTAAACTGGACCCCAGAGCCCTGATCCATGCTCCGGCTGGCATTGTCAAATTAATTATCCAGATAGTCGTCCTCGCAGCTGAACTGGGCTGGAAGAACCGAATGTTGTATCTTGCAGCAGCCTGTAGCCTGGCTTGGGCCACACAGAAGTACTGTCCTTGTCCCTGGAGCTATTGTGTCTGGTACTTGCCTACTAATGGGACCACCCAGAGGCCGTGAGATGGCACGTGAATTCTCTAATACAGACACATGTTGACCCTGACCTTGGCCCTCAAGCTGGCCCCTAGTCCAGCCACAGCCTTGACTTCACCATTCCCAGCCTCAGTTTCTTCTTCTGTAAAGTGGGGTTGAAAACCCCAGCCTTGTCTGCCTCTTCAGAGTGTGCTGAGTGTTGGGGTTGTCAAAGAGTGTGAGAGAAACCAGGACAAGTAGGGGGCTAGGATAGTTCTGGAATTCATGTGACAAATATTAAAGGAGCACCTACTGTATACAGGGCGCTATTTTAGGTGCTGGGGGTGTAGCATCGGATTGTGCTACCCTCCCAGAGCTTACGTGCTAGCCGGGAGAGACAGGCGATGGACAGACAGGGCAGGAAGATCCTCAGAGCACTGGACGGTGAGAAGCGTTGTGAACAGCCAGGCAAGGCCAGAGAGGTGCCTGGGTGGCTTGGGGGAAGGGTGGTACTACTGAGGTAAGGTGGCAGGAAGGGAGGAAGTGAGCCGGGCAGGTGGCAGGAGGAATAGTGTTCAGGGCGAGGGAGCAGCATGTGCAAAGGGCCTGAGGTGCACTTGTGCCTGGCACCTTTGAGGACCAGTGAGGAGGTCTGTGTGCCTGGAGTGGACTGGAGAGCAAGAGGGGAGGTCAGGCTGGGCCTTGTGGGCCACGGAAGGATACTGGCTCTCACTCTGAGGAAGGCTGCTGCTGGATGTTGGGCTTAACAGGACCCCTGGGCCCACTGTGGCAAGAATAGGAGCCCCAGAGCCCCAGGCAGAGGCGGGGACATCAATGCATCTCTTGCAGTGGCTGATCCAGACGAGAGTTGGGGGGCAGTGGAGGGGGAGTACTGGTCAGATCCTGGATTTAGCATGAGGGTTGGCTGGACTCGCTGTGCAGGAGAGAGGGGTCGGGGAGGTCATGATGATTTGGGGTTAAGGGCTGTGGGGGGCAGACTTCCTTGGGGGGTACAGTTGGCATTTGTGCAGCACCTGCAGGGTTGCTGAGTGCCTTCACACGGACACTCTGCTTGCTTCCCGCAACAAACCTTCCAAAGCAGATGCCGTGCAGGGTTGCGCCTGTTCTGTTATTGAGGCACATAGAGGTGGGAGAAGGGTCTTGCCTGTGAGGGGATTGAGGGTGTTGCCACAGGGTAGCCGGGGGGAGGGGGCTAGTACCGCCCCAGGCTTCCTGGCTCCAAGTCCTGGCCTTTCTCTGTAAACCAGGTGGTTACTCAGAAGATGTGTTTGGATGGCCTCTGTGCCATGCAGGAACTCAGGTTCCCTATGTGTAAAATGGAACCAAGGCCCACCTCCTAGGGTTGCCGGCAAGATGGTAGGAGATGGTGACATGAAAGACCTTTAGGATATCAACACATGTGAGCCGCGGTTCCTTTTGCTTTGGCCTCACGAGGTCTCTGAGGGCGGCACGCAGCGTGTTTCGGAGGCTCCCTGGCCGCCGTCTGCTCCTCAGGCAGTCGTCTGGCTTCTACTAAAGCCAGAGTTCGAGAGCCTCGCGTATGGAAGAGTGTGGGCACAACCCCTTAGTGTCAGGTACGGAAACTGATGCCCAGAGAGTGCAGGTCACACAGCGACAGGCAGCTCTGGCAACGGGGGATGTTTTCCACCTGCCTCTGGTCCACGCTGGTCCTGGCCTCGTGTGTACTGGGCCTGTAGGAGCACCCTCACTGCGGGAGTCTTGGCGCCCTGCATGTCGTGAGCCTCCTGGATATCTGGTATAGTCTTCTGGTTGGGTGGGTGCTTGCAGTGACAAGGTCTTTGTGCTCTCACAGAGATGGTGAAACTAGGCCATGAGCTGATGCTGTGCACTCCAGACGACCAGGAGCTCCTAAAGGTAAGAGAAGGAGCTCGTCTGTCCCCACAGAGAACACGGACATTTTCTGCCCTGGGCTGGGGACCTGGGTGATGCCAGCATGGGGATGGTAGCAGTTTCTTACCCTAGTGCCTTTGAGGTTCCTCAGGCCCCCGAGCCGGCCGCGTGCCTGGGCAGGCTGTCTCTTGAGGTGTCCCTGGGGCAAGAGCTGCTAGGATTCTCTTGGGCAGACCCTAGCTGTCCCTTGGGCACAGGGGAGAGGAGGACTATGGAAGTAGAGGTAGATCTCTGGCTCATGATGACCAAAGGGACAAAGAGTGTGACCTGTCCTTGGTTGATGACTACATTCTTGCCCAGCACTTTGACAGTAATTGTCGCAGCCACCCTCAGCAGTAGGGGAGGTGACGAACAACTCATTTGAGGTCGCAGGGTAGCAGAGCCAGGCCCCCACATGCTGCCCACTCACATGTTTCTACACAGAGGCCCCCCACCCACCGCCAGTCAGGAGACCCCCGCCTGCCCTTAACATTTCTGAATTTTGAAATAATTGTTTTCACTTTTGATTATTATGAATAATGCTGCTGTGAACATTCTTGTGTGACTTTCTGACTGAACACCTCTTGGGTATGTAGCCACATCTGGGATTGCTGGGTTACATGGTAGCTCTATTTGCTTCATAGCAGGATGTTGAAAATAAATGAAGTAGTAAATTGCATTAACTGTTTAAAACTTTACTGAATTTTCCAAAACAAATAACACATATTATTTTATATTTTTTAAAATAAAGAAAAATATAATGGAATGAGAATATGTGACGATGCCTTTTATTTTTTTTGAGACAGTCTCACTGTGGTTGCCCGGGCTAGAGTGCCATGGCGTCAGCCTAGCTCACAGCAACCTCAAACTCCTGGGCTCAAGCGATCCTTCTGCCTGAGCCTCCCAAGTAGCTGGGACTACAGGCGTGCACCACCGTGACCAGCTAATTTTTCTGTTTTTGGTAGAGACGGGGTCTCACTCTTGCTCAGGCTGGTCTTGAACTCCTGAGCTCTAGTGAGCCTCCCACCTTGGCCTCCCAGAGTGCTGGGATTACAGGCATGAGCCACCGCGCCCGGCCTGAAAATGGTTTGAAGAGGGGTACTACCTAATGTGGGTACTGAGATGGAAGTTGTTTGCCATGCACCTTGCCCTGTCACAGCAGCTTTAGCTGTTCCTGGCCTTGGCCTGGAGGTCAACCTGATGAATGGGCCACCATCAGGTCCCTGTGGGCTGTGTTCTGTCTCAGCAGGCCCTGCTGCATGTCACACGCCCACTCAATAAGCTGTGCTGTTAGCTCTGTGATAAGCACACACTCCTGTATGTTTCTACAGCACCTGGCATGTTCTGAAGTGTGGTCCTAGGCGTCATGGCAGCCTGAGGCGGGGGCTGGGCAGGGAGCACTTGGTGGAAGCCTCTGAGGCCGAAGTCCCTGAGCTAGTCCAAGATGTGGCCAGGCAGGGACAGAGGGTGGCCCGTGGGGCAGGAGTGCCTGAAACAGCTGCCTCGGCCTAGCTGAGGTCTAGCCAGTGAATGCATGTGGCCTTCCCTGCCCAGGGCTGTGCCTGTGCCCAGAAGCAGCTGCACTTCATGGACCAGTTGCTGGACACAGTCCGGAGCCTGACCATTGGATACTCCAGTTGCTCGAGGTGGAGGTTTGGATGGCCCAGATAGGTGCCCTGGACAGTCTTGTCTTGGTCCTAGATCTGGAGCTCGTAGGACTGGGGGTGCATCTGCAGCTGGGGTCTCACTGCCCTTCTGGGGGCAGCCGTTTGCTGGCAGCAGCCGCCTACTGGCCCAGGAGCTAGGGATGCCAGCTGAGGCAGGACACCCCCCTTGGGGATCTGGCTGGCCAGTCTGGGCCAAGCAGTGTATGGGCGAGGGGTGGCTGTGTCCTATGGATGCCAGGCTGCTGCCCAAGGTCCCGGGTGTGAGTTGGAAGGAGTGGTGTGGGCTTGGGAGAGGATGGGCGGGGCATGTTCGAGGTAGGTGAGCACCCAAAGTAGTGGAGCTCCTTTTCCTGGCCTCGGCCTGGTCTTGTTCTGCCTCTTGGGTCGTCCATGTGGGACTAAGGGCCTGCTGGGTCAGTGCTGCAACCTGTGATGGCAGGGCCCTGGGCTGCCTTTGCAGGCCAAAAGAGCACTTCATGGACACCACGGAGAAGAATGAGGCATTGCTGGAGGAGCTCTTCTCCAGCCCCCACATGCAGATGCTCCTGAACCCTGAGTGTGACCCGCGGCCCCTCAACATGCAGACCCTCCTCAACAAGCAGAGTGACGACTGGCAGCGGTATGTGCTCCACAAGTCCTCGGCAGCAGTGCCACAGGTTCCTGTCCCAGCTCCAGCCCCACCTGGTTCTGTTACCACAGACACCCATGGCGGTGTGGAGCTGGAAATGTCCCCCTTCTCTCCCTGCAGGGACAGCCCCTCTGCCAAGTCTGAGGAAGAGAAGGTGGCGGAGCTGGCCAGGCAGCTGCAGGAGAGCACTGCCAAGCTGCAGGTGCTCAGAGTGGAGGTGAGGGGTGCCTGCTGCTGGGGGCAGTGAGGCTTGGGGGGCCCGCTTTGTGTCCTAGGGCAAGTGACGTCACCTGCCCCAGCATGTGAGGCTTAAGGGAGGTGGCTCGTGCACAGTGCCCGACAGGTTCTAGAATGCTGCGAGTGCTCACTCCACATGAAGGTGAGGGGTGCGGAGGCTGGGCCTGGGGAGCAAAGGTCTGTGCGCGAGCTGGGAAGCTTGCCCGAGCTCCTTGTTTGCCTGTGCCTTGTCACATGTGGCTCTCCCGGCAGCCCTTGGCGCGGCCTCTTTCTGTGCTTATGAAAAAGACTGAGGCCCACGCTAGCGTAAGTGGCAGGATTGAGGCCCGAAGCCAGAAAGAAGGTCTTGCTCTAAGCCGAGTTGCTTCGTTCAGCCCTGTCTCCTGTCATCCTGACTACACGGTGTCGCCGGCCAGGCGGGGACAGTCTCGAGGGACTCTTTGCCTCTGGCTTTGCAGTGCTTTGCGCAGCACAAGCAAGGGGCTGCTGTGGGTGGGGCCGACACCAGCACCCTGGACCAGAAGCTGCGCCTAGTCATCTCTGACTTCCACCAGCTCATCTTGGCTTTCCTCCAAGTCTACGACAATGAGCTGGGTGAGTGCTGCCAGCGCCCAGGCCCCAACCTCCACCCGTGCGGCCCCATCGTCCAGGCTGTGTACCAGTCTCTGACTTCCTGCAGCCAAGTAAGAATTGTCCTCCCCTCTTCCCTGCCCTGCCCACTCAGACTGACAGCTCACAACCTCCCTGGGCTTAGGGGCCTCAGCAGTCCCGGATGAGAGACCTGAGGGCTGGGCTGAGGGGCCGAGAGGGGCTTGGCCTGGGTTCCCTGCAAGACAGTACATGGCAAGGCTCTGGGCTCCAGGCCTGGGACCTTCAGTGGGTTGGGCCAAGTGCTTCTCTTGGTGTCATGGAGGGAGGGCACTTGTGTGGTGGAGGGGCGATGTGGGTGTTGTCCCCAAACCCTCCGCACTTCAGCGGGTATTAACTAAGTCAAGACCCTGGGCCCTGAAGAGGTTTGCGCACTGCCTGTGTTAGGTCCTACTTGCCATGGTATGTGACCTTATCCCAGCCTCCAGCTTCCGTCCTTATATTGGTCTCATTCTATTTTCACATTATACCCAAACAAATCAAGATCCATTCATTCTTGTACATGACCAAGAACCATGCCAGACAGGCAGACAAATGCTTGCTTGTCTGTGCCCATGACCGGCTCTGGCAAGACAGGAGAAAGCGGTCTCCCACTGCCACGCTAAGTAGGTGTTTACTTGTTTTGTTGTTCCACATTTCAGAACCCCAGAGGCCAACCTAAAAAGCTGGGTTCAGTTATGATTATCACATTTGCCATATGCAAAACTCTGGTCTTGGCTCAAGGGTTTCACGCTATTTATTTTGGTTTTTTTAATGGAGAGGCTCCAAGGCTTCACAACCTCTGACCACCCTGTCTTGTGAGACCCTCCAACAGGGATAGTTAGGGCACAGGCCTCTCCTGACCTTTTTTCTTGGGCCATTTGCCTTACTCGGTCTGGGAGGACATGGAGTGCTGGCTGGCATGTCACTAGGCACTGAAGGTTACCAGAGCAGCATCATAGTATGGCATCCCCACCAGGCCAGGAGGAAGGGGACTTAGATCTGAGACTCTGTCTTTGGGGAAGAATGCTACATGCTCAGTGTGAACTTGGGTGGGAAGCAGGAGATACTATCTCTAGGTCAAACCAGCAGCATTTAATGCCCACACACTCCCTCCCTCCCCAGCTATTGAAGGCAGTCGTGGAGGTCGCTGACACCTCTGGGAAAGCTGTGGAGACGGTGAGGAAGCAGCAGGGCGAGCAGATCTGCTGGGGCAGTGACAGCTCTGTGATGAGTCTAGGTACGTGGCCGCCCTCTCGGCTTTTCTGTGCACACCAGCACTTGGGGAGCATCTGGGGACTCGCCCCTTCTTTCTTTCTTCTTTTTCTAAAGCATATTTTCCTTTCCTTGGAAAAAAACACTTTCAACAGATTATAAAATAAATATATTCATTGCAGAAAATTCAGATAACCCAAAGGCCTGCAGAGCTAAAAATAAAAATGACCCTGGTGACCCAGAGGTGGTTGGTGTTAGTATTTTGGACTATTTCCCTCCATTCTTTTTCCGGTTACTGGTTTTTTTTAAAGTTAAATGTACTCATAAGATGGGAATTATGTTTTATATTATGTTCTTTCCCTTTGACTTCATTTGAAGTGTTTTCCCATTTTTCCTAAGTAACATTTTTAATTGTGAGATATTATTCTAGTCAGGTACCTGCTAACATTTGCTTAACATTTTCTATTACTGAATCTGTAAGTCAGTTTCAGTTTTTACTATTACACATACTGCTATGGCAGGATTTACAATAGTGAGAAAATGGAAACGATCCCGAGTTCTAACGTCGGGTAATGCTTGGGTAAATAATGCTGTGTCTACACGGCGGGGATCATATCTGTTGTTTAGAGTTGGTTGCAAGGACGTGAGGAAATGTATATTATAAAATGTTAAAGGGCAAATGCAGGTGAAGAAATGAAATATACAGTATGACCTCCCCTTTCTAAGGGAAGCAAACGTAGAAGAAACCCTTGAAGGAAATGAGCCAGAAAGTGGACACCGGTTCTGCGTCGGAACCAGCCTTGGCTCTAATCTTCAGACATTCTCCAACGAGCGTGCGTTACTTGGGTTACGTTTCTCCTTGATTTTCAATCTTAAGAAAAAGTGCACAGTGAATATGTTTAGACATTCATCTTCGATTATGTCCTCAAGACAGAGTTCCTGAGGGGTTAGTGAGGCCAGGTCGTTAGGCTCAAACGATTTCCCTTTTACTGTGTCTGCAGCAGCTCTGCGTTTGATCCTTTTCACAGTTTTGCTACTGTGTAGGTACACAATTGTATCTGAATTCAATTTTAATTAAATTTTTCTTCTGAATAATTTTTTTAATTGTGGAAATATACATTAAGAAAATTTTTTTTCTGTTGGTTTCTTGAGCATATTTTTAATACTGTTTTAAAGCCCTTTGTCTATAAAAATAAAGAATATCCAGTATACAGATGACAAAAAAAAGAAAAAGAAAAACAGCATTTCGGGAGGAGTCTCAACTTATAGTGCCAGAAATACGAACTGGTTTGGTGTTTTCCCTGTGCTACGTCAAACCTCCTTCATTCTACTTCAAATGATTTCAAAGTGAATACTTGCGTTACCACAGCCCAGGTCGAGAAGTGGGACATGGCTAGCACCTCCCATGTGCGTCTTCCGATCGTAATCCTCTCCTGCCTCTAGGTAACTGCTGTCCTGACTTGGTGACAGTTATTTCTTTGTGAGATTCACTTAATCGTGTGGATCTGTAATTTGTTCATTTTCGTTGCCAGTTAGCATGAGTCAGGAAACTTTTCCTGTAAAGGGTCCGATAGTAAATATTTAAGGCGTTACGGGCCGCGTGGTCTCTGTGGCAACTACTCAACTCTGCTGTTGTTGCAGGAAAGCAGCCATAGAGGATGCATAGATGAGAGAGTCTGGCTGTGTTTCTGGAAAACCTCACTTATAAAAGCAGGTGGCAGACTGTAGTTTGCCAACTCATGCCACGTAGTGTTCCATCGGAGGCCTACCCTGCGCCGTGCCCATCCGTTCCACTGTTGGTACATGTGTGGGTTGTTCCAGTGTCTTCAGTGCTACTCGGTCCTGCCATGTTGCCCGTCCGCCACCAGTAGTGCATGAGCCATCCCATTGCTTCACACCCCCACCACAGTTGCTACTTCCAGTTTTCTCACTGGCGCCTCGTTGGTAGGTGCGTACTGTATTTCACTGCATCTTTATTTTGCGTTTCACTGATTACCAACAAGGTTGTAGCTTTTCATACCTTTATTGACCATTGAAGTTTTCTCTTACGTGAAGTGCCTGTTTCAGTCTTGCTCATCTTTCTGTTGGGTTGCTCATCTCTTTCTCATTGATTTGCGGCCCTTTTTGCGTTCTGGACACAAGTTTTTGCGCATTCAATGTATCGCATGTATCTGCCTCCACTGTGCGGCTTAGCTCTTCACTCCTTTCCTGTGGTCCTTTGCCGTACGGTAGCTTTCCATTTGAATATAGTGAGATGTAGCCATCATTTCTTTTTTTTTTTGAGACAGAGTCTCATTCTGTTGCCCTGGCTAGAGTGAGTGCCGTGGCGTCAGCCTAGCTCACAGCAACCTCAAACTCCAGGGCTCAAGTGATCCTACTGCCCCAGCCTCCCGAGTAGCTGGGACTACAGGCATGCGCCACCATGCCTGGCTAATTTTTTCTATATATTTTTAGTTGGCCGATTAATTTCTTTCTAATTTTAGTAGAGGCCGGGTCTCGCTCTTGCTCAGGCTGGTCTCGAACTCCTGAGCTCAAACAATCCGCCCGCCTCGGCCTCCCAGAGAGCTAGGATTACAGGCGTGAGCCACCGCGCGCGGCCCATGTAGCCATCATTTCTTTATGGGCAGGCCTCCGCTGTCTCACTGACGAATACTTTTCTACTCCAGTGTCCTGAAGATACTCTCTATTGTCTTCCAAAAACTGCGTAGTATTACCTTCTTTAGTTAGGTCAGTAATCTTCCAACAGTTGAATCTTGGTATGATCGAGGTGTGAGTATGATGAGTGTGAGGCGGAGGTCCACATTTGTCTCAGCGCCATTGAATGGAATTCACTCTCCCCATTGGTCTGCAACACTGCCACCTCTGTTAGTTACCACGTGCCCACACACGTATGGGTTTCCGGGCTCTCTATTCTATTCTTTTTTTTTTTTTAAATTTCTGCACTAATACCACATTTCAGGAGGTTAGAAAATAAATGGCAAAATAAATCTAAAGAAAGAAGGTAAAGCCAGTTTTCCTACTTTGCTTTTCTTCATTTTTAACAATAACAGCTTTACTGAGCTATAATTCACATTAACATAACGTTCACCATTTGAAAAGTGTACAATTCAGCAGATTTTAGGATATTCACAGCAGTTGTGTAACCATCACCACTATCTAAGTCCAGGACATTTTTATCACCCCCAAAAGAAATCCCATACCATTAGCAGTCAGTGCCCACTCCCCTAGCCCAGCTCCTGGTAACCACCGATCCGCCGTCTGTCTGCAGATTTGCCTGTCTGGATGTTGCTATAAATGGGATCACACGACACATAGCCTTTCGTGTCTGGCCTCTTTCACTGAGCATGATGTTTTCTAAGGTTTATCCATGTACTTCACTCCTTTCTGGGACTTAATGACATTCCCTTGTTTGGATACACTACCTTTTGTTTATCCATATACCTGTTGGTACACATATGATTGTTCCTACCTTCTGGCAGTTACAAATAACGCTGCCATGAACGTGTGCGCAAGTGTGTGTGTAAGCACAGGTTTTCAGTTTGCTGGGGTACATACCCAGGAATAGGATTGCTGGGTCACATGGTGACTCTATATTTAACTTTTTGAGGTACTGCCAGACTGTTTTATCCATTCTACCAATATCTACCTTTTTACCACATTGTTTCATCCGTTTATACTTAACAGAAATACCGACGATCCTCTATTCCTCTTATTTCTTTAGTGCTTAGTAGATATTTTTTAGCATACCATTTTCATTACCTTATTGTTTCTTTAACTCTATTTTTTTTAAGTTATTTTCTTAGTGGTTGCCCTTAGAATTACAGTTAACATCTTAAACAGTTGAATACCAAGTTCATTTCAATAGCACACAGAAACGTTGCTCTAACGCAGCTTTCTTCCTTCTCCCCTCCTTTGTGCTATTATTTTATACAAATCACAACTTTATGTATTGTATGCCTGTCAACACAGATTTATAATTATTGCGTTATATAATTGCCTTTTAAAGTACACAGGGGAAGAAAAGAGTCACAAATAAAAATACGTACTTTTATATTTACCTGTGTTGTTACCTTTATTGGAGTTCTTTATTTCTTCATGTGGATTTGAGTTACTGTCTAGTGCCCCTTCATTTCAGCCTGGAGGGACTACCTTTAGTATTTCTTTTTTTTTACCTTTACATCCACAACATTTGCAGCATACCTTTAGTATTCATTGTAGGGAAGGTCTACTAGTGACGAACTTCCTCAGTTTTTGTTTATTTGGGAATATCTTAATTTCTCCTTCGTCTTTGAAGGTAATCTTAATGGATATAGAATTCCTGGTGGACAGTTCTTTTCTTTTGTACTTTGAATATGTTATCCCATTATTTCTGGCCTTCATAACTTTTGACATGAAATTAGCTCGCCATCTTATTGAGGACCATTGTACATGATAAATCTGTTCACTTGTTTTCAAAATTCTGTTGGTCTCTGGCTTTTGATAGTTTGATTATAATGTCTCTGTGTGAATGGCTTTGAATTTATCCCATTTGGAGCTTTTTGAGCTTTTTGGATGTGGAGACTCGCATTTTTCATCAACACTCAGCCGGGCAGTTGACAGCTCTTTCTTCTTTACTTCGTGCTTATTCAGAGCCTCAGGGGCTGCCAGAGGTGAGCTCAGGGCCTTCCAGGTCTCTCCTGGGCATTTTCACAGCCCTGGAAATGCACATGGCCTTCCTGGGTCTCAAGACTATGTCAGAGCTTCTCAGAGCCCTTGTGGACAGCTTCTTCCCCAGCCTTTCCTCCCCGGCTTTCGGTCAGTCTTTTGTTTGCAGCAGCAACCAAGGCATTTACCTAGAAATATTTTCCACTGATGTGCCCTCAAGTAGTGGCTTTGGGTCATATAGCCCCTGAGCCCTCCTTTGGTGACTGTCTTTGGATGAAATCTCCAGCCCACCCTCTCCTTGGGCAGCTTCCCTTCTCACTGCTCTTGGCCTTGGCACATGCCTGCCACATGAGTGCCACATGGGCACTCAGGAGTCACTTCTTGCTGATTGAACTGCACCGGAATCCTCCACCTTAAAATTTATTATAGCATTTATCCTAGTCACCACTGTCACTAGGACTCTCACCCCAGTGTGTACAATTGCTGTTAATAAACTGTGTGTAATCCATGCTGTCATTATTATAATAATGATCATTAGTATCCTAGCAGTGTGCCGTCTTACCTGTGACTATGGCACCATGGGACTGGTGACAGGTTTTGCTTTTCAGATAGGCATTGTGTGCATCAGGCTATGCGAACCTGCAGCACTTTGTGGGCAGGGAAGCCTGTGCTCACCCTCGAGCCCCGGCCACCTCGGGGTCTGGAGAGATGCAAGGGGAGCAGGGCCAGCAGGGCGCCGACCTCTCTTGTGGCTCTGGACTCGGCTCCCACCAAGGCACCTTCCTGATTTGGTTTGAGACGAATTCCTAGGTTCAAGACACACCCAAAGAAGGGAGCCAGCATCAAATGCACACCAAAGGCCACTTGGAACCATCCTTTACTTGTCCCTTTCCTATCTGACACATTGAGGACCTGGTCTCAATGACCTCCTCAAGCCCTGCCACCAGGGAATGTCTGTGTTGCTGTGCTATTTCCCCTCCCACCCATCTGCATGCCAGGCTGTGTTGGTGGCACGTCCCCAAGTATTGAAGGGAGGGGCCCAGTGTGTCTACTGGGCCCGTGCCTGGAGGTGTGGCCTCGTGAGCAGGGGGGGACTTGGCAGTGTGGGCTGGCAGCTTGTCCCATTGTCATTCCCCACACTGGGTGTTGCCATCCCGATCGGGTGCACCTGCAGTCCTGTTTGCCTCCCAGGGCCCCTGAGGCCTGACTGCCATGAAAATATCGATGTGTTCCGGAAGTGAAGCAACCCTTTTGGTGCTGGGAAGAGGGGAGGGGAGTTGAGGGCGCCAGCACAAGAGAGATGTTAACAGGTTCTGGAAGGCAGAAAGTGAACAGCACAATGGCTGGGGACAGCTGCAGTGAGAGGACAGCCCCAGGGAGCAGCTGGGGAGCCCCGGGAGGGGCAGTGGCGAGTGGACTGGAAGCAGAGGGCGGAAGCGAAGAAAATGAAACGAATAAGCAAACCCAGGCTCCTCCAAACCCCTGCTAAGGAGAGACGCCACAGGAAGCAGGGGGCCCCACCACAGCAGAGCAGGGGCAGCGCCAGCTACCCAGGCCCCCTCTCCCAACCCCAGCGGCTGTCCAGGGCTGGGGGAAGAGACCAGCACCATGGAAGAGAGAAGAAAGACCTGGGTGAGCATGAAATGTGAGTGAACATACTCATTGTGACATCCAGATGTGCCTGCAAAGCTGTAAAAATCCAGCAATGAGGAAAGACTAGAAAACAAAATGAGGCAGCAACTGTAAGAGTACAGAGAAAAAAGACAGAACAGTGGACACGGCTAAGCGACATGGAGGCCCAATCCTGGTGGTGACCGAACACGCCAGAGAGAGAGGAAGGGAGATGGAGGCGTGGGTTGCCCAGGAAGTGACAGGCAAACCAGACTGAGTCAGCTGAATGGAGGCTTCAGATTCCAAGCACAGGACAGATGGAACCCACAAGATGTGTCCCAGGATCCAGCCTTCTGCGATCTGGAGGACCAGGGTCACAGTGCTGGAGCCAAACCTTCGAGAAAGAGAGCCCATTGCCTCAGAGGAGCAGCCCCGAGGGCGCTTCCCCCAAGCTCAGCCAAGCGCGAGGGCAACGCACAAGGCCTGGGCCACAGCCGAGAGGTGCCAACTGACGACTGCCCCGGGGATGGCTAGAGGATTTGATGAAGACAGATGCCACCCAAAGCCAAAGCAGTCCAGCACCTAGGGAAAGACTAGAGAAATGCAAGTCGTGAGAGGAAGCCCCTGAACTGGGACACCACTGGACGTGTTGATGACAAGTGGAAAGGGGCCTGGGGTCGGTTCAGGCTGGGCTGAGCATAGCCCCTGCTCTGCAGGGAGGAGCCCACCCACTCAGCACCTCAAGGCCCATTGCCCTGAGGCACACCCATGATTCCTGGCTTCAGAGTCACCCTCGGGATGAGCAGAGGATGACAAATTCGGGCTGTCACGGCACCTAATGTCAGTGTTAATGACCTGACATGTAAAAGGCAGTGCCGCAGACAGGCTGTGGAAGGGGAGAGGCTGAGCAGGACCAGGAGTCCTGTGTACTTAGTGGAAAACACAAAGGCAGAGCTGACTCTGTGGGGGCAGGGGAGTGAGCAGTAGCCCCTCAGGTCACACCCAGCAGTCATTGTCTCAGGTTGCTGCCTCGAGAGGCAGGTGTCATGGCAGCCCTGGTGCCCTCTCCTCACCCCGAAGAGCCAGGTGGCACGGGTCACAGCGGTAGCCTCCGGGCTTGGGTGGGTGGTGGAGACTGGTGTTGTTCAGCTAAGACCTTAGGGCTGTTCCATGTCATTGGATTTGTCACTGTGTACACATATTGTTTGGTTAAAATTGAATACACCATCAACATCGGAATAGCCCCTGGCTCCTTGCTGGGTTATGGGCACCTGGCTGGGGCCACAGCCCAGGGCCCCTGAGCTGCTGGCCTGGCTCCCAGGAGCGACCCCCTTAGCAGCTCCCAGCTCAGCCATTTCCCTGCTGCCAGTGGTGCCTGGGGCCTGATGAGGGTCCACCAGGGAGGACACGTGGCTGGGTGGGCTGAGGGGGCAGGAGGTGACCCTTGCATGGATTGCCCACCTCTGCCTCTTCCGGGCCGGAAAGTGCTAGACTCACTTTGCTGTTTGTGTTTTTTTTCTTTCCTCTGCAGCCACCAAAATGGATGAACTAACGCAGAAATACAAGGTCTTCAACGACAGCCTGCACAAGGGCGCAGGCTAGCGCGGGAGCGGGAAGCCCTCCCTGAGCGCCGGGCGGCTGGCAGGGCCCCAGCTGTTCTCCCGGCAAGGCCCGAGGCGCCCTGGGAGGGAGGGAAGGTGGCAGGGCTGGGAAGAGGGGTTCGAACTGGGCACAGAGGAAACCTCAGGCTCTAAGAAGTCGCCTCCAGCCTTTTTGTGTCCGTGGCTCCGCATCACTTTCTTCCCCTCTGGCCAGGGCTGCCCGGTGTCCCAGGTCCAGGCCAGCTGGCTACAGCCCTCCGGCTGCCCTGGCAGGTCTGGGCTGTGCCCTCTCCCTGTTGCTTCCATTCTTCCTTGCCGTCGCCAGCCGTCCCCTCCCCTGGCTGGCCTCGGGGTCCCGCGTAAGTCCTGTGCACCTGAATCTGGCAGGCAGGGCACCTGCTCCCTCCTTCCGCTGCCTCCCTCCGCAGGGTGCTCAGCACAGGCTGGGGAATTCCTGACGGTGGCCTGACTGGTTGTCCGGGAAGCTGCTCTCTGGGCTTCACAGGGTGACCCAGAACCTCCCTGAACAGTGTGCCCATCATGGCCACCTCCTTCCTTGGGAGCACAGGAACAGGCATGACCAGTGGAGCCTCTGCCTCCCTCAGCCGCTGTGGATCCAGGAACGGGAGGGGTCTCCCTTGCACCTGCTGCTGCCTGCCCTGCCTGTTCCCTGCACTGTCGCCTTTGCTTCCCCAGGTTCCCCTGCGGGCACTCAAGGAAAGCACGGGAAGCCGGGCACCAGGCCCCTCCTGCCCAGTCTTCTGGGGCGTCCTCCAGACTGCTGCTATGGGAGGTGGGAGGAGAGGCAGGCCTGCAGTCACTACTGTCCACTTGTGCCAACTGCTTTACAGGCCAAGGGACTCACCCTGGTTGCCTCCCTGTACCCCAAGCGCTGGTGCATCTTGCTGTGGAATGAGGTGCTTGGGACGCCGCCGCTTCCTGGGCCGGGTTGTACCTAGTCCCCCTCTTGTACTGCCAGTGCCCTGCACCTGGAGCAGGCGCTCCTATAGACCTGGGGCTCCCGCCTGCCCCTCGTGGTGCTCATCCCAGCTGCCTGGCCGCCTCTGTTAAGCACTTGTTAGACATTAGGGGTCATTATAGCCTTGAAGAAGATACCATCTCCTTCCTGGTGGAAAAATGAGCCCGCAAGGTGGGTAAGCTGCAGCCCGGCGGTGTGTGGGCTGCCCTGAAGTCACCGCTGCTCACAGGGGTGACACTAAGGCCCCCATCCTTAGCACCCCTTCCACTTTGCAGGCTGAGCACACTCCCAAGCTTGCTTCAGCCTCCCAAGGGGCAACCTGATCTCCAGTGATGGGGGAAACTGAGGCCTGGCCTTTGTGTGGCACATCCCAGCATGGGGGTAGGCATTGACTTTGGGCCTGCCAGGCCTGGCAGCCACAGGCTGGCCCCTACCAGACTTGGAGGCAGGCTAATTGGAGGGCGTGGCCTTCTGCACTGCCTGGGTTTTCTCCTGCCTGTGAGGAACTCCCTGGAGCCCGCGTGGCCCCGGAGCCTGCTGTCCCCGTCTGTAAACGCGGGGCGTGTGTCCCAGTGGCTGTGAGCGAGTGAGGGGGCGGTGAGCAAGCCAGCTGCACAGGTCCTGCAGCCCCAGGCTCCTCATTGCCCAACAGGCGGCTGGGGGCGGGCTGCGGCTGCCGATTAAAGGCCACCTGGAGCAGCCTGTGTGAAGACAGGTGCCTAATAGCAGCCCGGGAAGCCGGCCAGTGCTCGCCCAGGTAAGCCAGCCGCTGAGAACCTGGGGGCAGGCAGAGGCCAGTTTGGGGCTGGCACCTGTGTGCCAGGGAGAAGGCCAGGAGATACTGAGCCTGGGAGAGGGGGTCACTGCACAGGAGCTAATTCCAGGGGTGCAGACCCAAGGGTGCTATGCCTAAGGCCCCAGCCGTGGTGTTTGGGTGAAGGGGCTGGGCCCTGCCAAGGTGCCATCACTGGGCTACATCTGCCTTCCCACAGCCCTAATGGGGGCTGTGACTGTACCTGGAGGCAGAGGGCAAGGGGCTCTGAGGCCTTCCTTTTGCTCTTAGGTGGCAGGAGAGGGGCTGGCTAGGGAGGGACCCGAGGGACAGAATGAAGGGGAGTGATGATTCCCTAGGAAGTCCCATCCTGGACAGAAGTTACAGGTCCTGGTTGCTGGATCCCAGCCTTGGAGGTCCCTTCAAAATCTCCCTGAATAGGGGCCTTAGAAACCATTCCTAGAGCCTAAAGTGGGGTGGGGGTGGCAGGAAGTGAGATCCAGTCCAGGCGCAGTGCTGTGGGAGGACGGCTTGAGGACAGGAGTCTGAGACCAGCATGGGCAACATAGCAAGACCCCATCTGTACAGAAAATAAAAGAAAAGGAAATGAGGCCCAGAGGGGTCGGAGCTTTGGCCAGAGAGAGGGCCCAGGTGTCCCCATCCCTTCAGCCCTCAGCCCTTGTGCCTTTTGCTCTGGCAGCTTGAGGCCTTGTCATCTTTGTGACAAATCGTCATGTCTGAGGCACCCCGGGCCGAGACGTTTGTCTTCTTGGACCTGGAAGCCACGGGGCTCCCCAGCGTGGAGCCTGAGATCGCTGAGATATCCCTCTTTGCTGTCCACCGCTCCTGCCTGGAGAACCCAGAGCACGACGAGTCTGGCACCCCTGTGCTGCCCCGGATCCTGGACAAGCTCACGCTGTGCATGTGCCCAGAGCGCGCCTTCACCGCCAAGGCCAGCGAGATCACCGGCCTGAGCAGCGAAGGCCTGCTGCGTTGCCGGAAAGCTGGCTTCGACCGCGCCGTGGTGCGGACTCTGCAGGCCTTCCTGAGCCGCCAGGCAGGCCCCATCTGCCTTGTGGCCCACAACGGCTTCGATTATGACTTCCCCCTGCTGTGTACTGAGCTGCAACGCCTGGGCGCCCGCCTGCCCCAGGACACCATCTGCCTGGACACGCTGCCCGCGCTGCGGGGCCTGGACCGTGCCCACAGACATGGCACCCGGGCCCAGGGCCGCAAGGGCTACAGCCTGGGCAGCCTCTTCCACCGCTACTTCCAGGCCGAGCCGAGCGCGGCCCATTCTGCTGAGGGAGACGTGCACACCCTGCTCCTGATCTTCCTGCACCGCGCAGCTGAGCTGCTCGCCTGGGCGGACGAGCAGGCCCGCAGCTGGGCCCACGTCGAGCCCATGTACTTGCCGCCTGATGCCCCGCGCCTGGAGGCCTGAGCACCAGCATCACAGGTGCTCCCTGTGCCACGGGCAGCACCAGCCTCGACCGCTCAGTCGGGCTCTGAGCAGAGCCTCGCTGCCCCTCCCCCAGCTCTTCTTGGTGGACAACCCCAGGTCCATACACCTGCCAAGCCTCCCGGGTCTGGCCTGACCAGCCACGCAGCCCAGAGCCTTCCCTGAGCCCTGACCCAGGGCCACACTGCTGCACTTCACCCTGTTTCTCAATAAACATTGCCAACTACTCACAGCTGACTTACTGGCCAGACACTCGGGGCCAGGCTCCCCCAACACCCAGCCTGCAGAGACCAGAGCAGAGACCCCCAGGGCCGCCCCATTGTGGCCTGTCCCTGCAGTGACCTCCAGGGGTGGGAGGACATAAGGGCTCCTAGGCTGGTTTGAGGGGCTGGTGGGTTGGGGCTGTGGCCTCTGAGCCACAGGTCACCTCCCTGGTTGGTCTCCTACGGTCCCCTGAGCATTGCCCCTCCCTGCACTGCCTCCCCAGAGACCTAAGAAATCCATGGATAGGGCCTTAAGCCTGGCCCTGCCCGGTTGCAAAGTCCAGCTCCAGCACTTGCCACCGGGGGACCTGGAACCTCTGTCCCTGCTCTGTGAAGTGGTAGCAGGGTGAAATGCACGTGCATGCGTGCACACGTGCATGCCAAGTGGCAGGAGGGTGTGCTGCAGTGTGTGGGGTGGGGTGCACTGAGGAAGGCACAGAGGAGAGGTGGTGAGGATGATGTCTGGAAAGGAGTCTGTCCTGGGCCCCCTGTCCGTTGTGGTGTGGCAGCTGTGGCTGGCTTTGGGTTACTGGCTAACCTGCCTTGGGGCCCCACCCTGAGGCGCTCCCAGTCTCATCGGGAGGCCTCATGAGTGAGGAGAGACTTGTGTCACCAAATGCAGGGGCAGGTAAGAAGGGGTAAGGTAGGGTGGGTGGCCACACCCAAGAGTGACTCACATGAGCAAAGCCTCGAGCCTTGAGCCAGCCAGGCCCGTTCGGGGAACCCTAAGTAGGTCAAAATGACTAGAGCCACTGCAGTGTGCGAGGTGGCAGGATGATGAGGCCAGAGTACCGGCAGCGGCCATGTCAGGCCGTCCTCATGGCCCAGAGCAGGACTGACCCCGAGGGCAATGGAGAGCACAGAGGGTTGTGAGCAGGAGAGGGGCAAAACTGATTTCTGTGTTTACGATGCCTCCCAGGCTGCTGTGCAGAGAACGGCAGAGGGGAGGGTGGCAGGCTGGGGAAGGAGAAGCAGTGGGTACAGGGCTGTGCGGCAGGGAGGGCCGGCCTGGCAGGGGTGGAGCAGGGTGTGTGGTCGAGAGGGCCACACAGGGATCAGTTTGGGAATGCGATTTGTAACCAAAGGTCTTATCGCAGCCAAGCTTCCTGAGGAGAGCACCCACCTGGGAAAGTGTCACAAGGCTGAGGCTGGCCCAGCAGGGCTGAGCCTGTGTGCAAGACCCTGCTCTAGGCAGGAACAGAAGGAGTAGGGGCACAGAGTCCCCCAGAACCCCTGGTGCCCAGGGCTGGCTAGGCCTGAACCGGCAGGTGGTGCCCTTAAAATCCTGGCCTCAGTGCTGACTCTGGGTAGGTGATACCAAATAGGTTGCCAGAAGGGGCTCACCTCCAGGATTACACAGACGGGGGCTCTGGTTTTGTGCCCTCTTGCTTCTCTTGGCCACAGTGCCTCTCCTGTATCACTCTGGGCTGCCCTGGCCTCACAGTGGCCTGGCCCCAGGCGCTCTCCCCAGGCCTATTTTGGGACTGGCCATGCCAAGCGTCTGCATACCGTGATGCACCGACAGGCTGCGACCTGCC